CTGACCCCTGTCAGCACTCTCTCTCACTCTCAGTGCCAGCCACGGGGCCTTTGCACAAGCTGTCTTCTGCGGGACACGCTCTCCTTTGCCTTCTCTGCTAGTTAACTCTTCAACATTCACCTCTTGACTTAGGCATATCTTCCTTATGGGAGCATTCCCGGAAGTCCAGATTACCTTTTAGAGGTCCTTATAGCACCGTAGTCCTTGCCTTATTTCAATTTTTTTATTTCATGCATTCATCATTATTAAGCTTCATTGCACTCTCCTTTTGCTCCAGACTCCCAGCTCTGCAAGGGCAGGGACCGTGTTGGGTTTTGGGTTGGGTTATTTTTTCAGCACTGGTCCTAGTATGCAGTGGATGTTTCCTAAATATTTTCTGGAGGAATAAATTTTAACTAATTACTCTGTAGGGCTAAGGAGGCCATAGTGTGGATGGGTGGCTCCTGGGCCCAGGTTTAAGAAAGACTGCCTTAACCCAGGTCAGATGGACAGAACAGGCAGATGCTGAGATCCTGAGCCTCTGCCTTGGATGGGGTGGAGTGGGGTGCAGGATTCTCCCCCATGGTCTCTCTGATGGCTACTATTTCCTCATTTACCAGGCTGTCCTCACCTACAAGGAGGTGATGTCTAATCTGCCTTCTCACCTTAGAGACAGCAAGCTTCTTAAGAGAAGGACTGTGGCTGAGTCAATCTCTAGGCCTGGCACAGTACTTGGCACATATGAGTGCTCAATGAGTGTTGTGAATAAATAAATAGTCAATAATCCATGCATGGACGGATGGTAAAATGCTAGCACTTCACCATTCCCAAGGTGAATGGCACCCATTGACCCACCCACTTGGCCTGTGGAATAACAGGAGCTACCCTGCTGCCTCTCCTAGGGCCTCCATCTGCCCTCCTAAATTCCTTTCCTATTCTGTCTTTGACCTTCAAGCCCAGAGGAGAGAAGCTGGCCCATCAGGGAGCCCAGAAACCTAAAGCCTTGATTCTGGGTCCAGGCATGACTGGTTCCCCCAAAAGGACCCTAATGACCTCTTTATTCTCTCAAAGGCAGGGGCGGGGGCGTGTGTGTGGTCATGCTTTGTGAGATTTGTCTGTCTGTGGAGGTAGGCTCTCCCGGGCTTCCCTGGGGCACCTCATCTTTCCTTACTCCTTGCCCCCAGCTTGGACTAAGCTTGCCTCTGTTCTGCTGCCTTGGTGTTAGGCTTGAGGTTGGGAGAGGAGGAGGGAATCTAGGCTAACAAGATCAGGAGAAAATCTGGCAGTTTTCAAAATACTGTAAGCATTCTAGTTCCTATGTGGGTGTATCTTGCCCTCAGTTCCAGGGAGGCCTACCGGGTACAGTGGAGCCCATAGCTCCTCTCCCTGCAGTTACAGAGAGGACGATCGTGTTGCCCCCTTGCCCATCGGTGGCCTCAGCTACGTACAGGGCCGCACCAAAATTTGTCTTGTCAACAAGACTGTGGGACGGTGCCTGGAAGCCACAGCACAAAGGATCCCAGATCAAGAGGCGTTGGTGGTCCTCCATGAAAATGTCAGGTTGACCTTTGCCCAGCTCAAGGAGGAGGTAGGTCCTGATGTTGAACCCTTAAAGTGGGCAGGGGAGAGCCACTGGTGCAGGTACCTAGTTATGGGACAGTGTGCTGGGGCTGCCTGTGAGTCCCAAGGGGCGGTGAGAGAAGGGGATGGGACTGAGCAGAGGTGGCCTGGATGCCCCCTGCATCAGCAGCTCCTGAGACACTTATTAACTGTGTGTGCTGCAGGCTGCTTTGTACCCCTCACTGAGGCCTAAGCATCTGCCTGTCCCTTTGCTCCCAGTGACTCTGATATGAACCCCTTAGCTATGGGCTGAGGGTGGGAATCATGGTCCCTTCCTTCTTGCCCCCTACTCACCCCTTGTGCCCCATCTGTTTACATCAGGTGGACAAAGCTGCTTCCGGCCTCCTGAGCATTGGCCTCTGCAAGGGTGACCGGCTGGGCATGTGGGGCCCCAACTCCTATGCATGGGTGCTTATGCAGTTGGCCACCGCCCAGGCAGGCATCATTCTGGTGAGGAGGGGCTTGCTAGAAACAGTGGGATGAGGTAGGGGTCATTCCAGGGAAGCCCCTCAGCCCCTTATCCCAGAACCAATCCAGTGCCGGGCTGATGTCAGACTAGGTAGTTTTTCCTCCTGAGGCCCACCAAGGAGGCCTTCAGGGGTAAAGGGATGTAGAGTGCTGCCCCTGGGTCTCCTCAGGGTAGAGGGGCTACAGGAAGGACAGTGGCAGATTCACTGAGCCACCTTGGGTCAGAGTAGGTATCATACCCTGCTGTACATACCCTTACTGTTTCCACCAGGTGTCTGTGAACCCAGCCTACCAGGCTATGGAACTGGAGTATGTCCTCAAGAAGGTGGGACCCATTCCTGGGGGAGGGCCCAACTGGGGCCTGACACAGGGGGCTTCTGGTTGTCACAGAGGCTAATGGGGGGGAGAGAGGGCTTGCATGGTGGGTGATGGGCTGAGTGTCCTTCCTTTGGCTATGTGTGGAAGGAGGCCTCACCTCCGTGGGAAGGGTAGCTGGTCAGACACAGGCTGGCGTGAGTGTTGGGTGGCCCATGTGTGTTAGGGTCCTAGAGCACGTGTGTGTGAGTGTATGTTCGTATCCTGGCATGTGATGCATATTTGTCTCATAGTGTGGTATGTGTATGTCTTAGGGCTAATACATGTGTGTACTTGTCTTAGAGTGTGGTGCATGTGTGTGTGGGGGAGTTGGTATGTGTGTGAGAGTGTGGTGCATGGACATGAGTGAGAACTGATCAGTGAGCACTCCCTCACAGCCCCAGTCTGCAGGGGCTGATATGAACCCCTTAGCTTCAGTTGTCCTCACTGTTCTATTGACTGCAGATGGGGGGACTCCCTTTTTACAGGTAGGCTGCAAAGCCCTTGTGTTCCCCAAGCAATTCAAGACCCAGCAATACTACAACATCCTGAAGCAGATCTGTCCAGAGCTGGAGAATGCCCAGCCAGGGGCCTTGAAGAGTCAGAGGTGAGTGTATGCTGGGTTGCAGGATGCAGGATGCAGCACCCTAACTCCCTCACTCCTACCCAACCCCAGGGAACAGGGCTGGCATCTCTGCACTCTCCCTCAGTCCCTGCCTCTCAACATTCTCTCCACCCCCAGGCTTCCAGATCTGAGCACCATCATCTCAATTGATGCCCCTTTGCCGGGGACCCTGCTCCTGGATGACGTGGTGGCAGCTGGCAACACAGAGCAGCATCTGGCTCGGCTCCGGCACACCCAGGAATTCCTGTCCTGCCATGACCCCATCAATATCCAGTTCACCTCGGTAGGGCAGAGGTCTCCAGGTCCCATGCCCCCTGTCCCTGTGACCCTTCCCCAGGAATGAAAGATAGCAGAGGAAGTCAGGAGAGCAGGCACTCTCTCCTGAGACCAGCCTTCAGTTGTCCTCACTGCTCTGGCAAACATCAGCAACTGGTGTCCTTGTTACATGCCCTGCATCCCCGTCCTCTTACTCCCAGTGAGTGCAGATTCACTGAGCCACCAAGGGCCAGAGCAGGTGGAGTCAGCCTCTCATATGGCCATTGGGGAATCCAAGGCCCAGAGAGGTAATCTGCCCAAGCCCATGAAGCCCAGTCCCTCATGGGCCACTGAATCCTCTGAGCCGCATTGTGATGGGCGCAAGGACAGAGATTTTACCTTCTGCATTTCTGGACCCTGATAACTGGCACTGTGGTGGACCTTTTGTGTGTATACAGAATAAACAGGTGGATCTGGACAACAATCTTGGGCTCTTGACTCCAAGTCCAGGGCTCTTCCAGGCAGTGGCCCCAGGTGGGAAGGAGAGGGAGAAAAGGGAGAGCAAGCTGTCACCTGCTTGTCTTGGCAGGGGACGACAGGCAGCCCCAAGGGGGCCACTCTCTCCCACTACAACATTGTCAACAACTCCAACATGATAGGGGAGCGCCTGAAACTGCATCTGAAGGTGAGCTGGGGCCTGGTCCAGGGCAAGGCTGTGGGGAGGGAAGTGTTTAGGCAGGGGTGGAGGGCTTGCTGGGCACCCCTTGTCAGCTAGAGGAACTGGCTTCTGGGGCTTCTGGCTCCACAATAAACCCAGCCTCCTGTCTCCATCTCCAGACACCAGAGGAGCTGCGGGTGATCCTGCCTAGCCCCCTGTACCACTGCCTAGGTTCTGTGGGGGGCACAATGGTGTGTGTGATGCACGGTGTTACCCTCATCTTGTCCTCTCCAGTCTTTGATGGCAAGAAGGCACTAGAGGCCATCAGCAAAGAGAGGTAGGCATCAGTACCCCTGGGCCCATCACACCCTCCTATTCTTCACTCCTGTGCCCTGATGCCTTCCCAAGGCATCTGCTCCTCCAGCCAGCAGACGTGGGTATTGGGGTAGTGGGAGGACCCCCAGGAAAGGACCACTTTCTGCCTCAAAAGCTTCTCCTGTCTGTTCCCTACAGCTTCAGCCTTGGGGGGTGGGTGACAAGAGGGAGTTCCCTTTCACTTCCAAGCCTAATTGTGAGACCCCCCCCCATACAGAGGCTCCATCCTGTACGGCACCCCCACCATGTACGTGGACATTCTGAACCAGCCAGACTTCTCCAGTTATGACATCTCGTCCATGTGTGGAGGTGGGGTGGGGCCAAGGACAGCCAGGCATGGGGAGGGGGCTGCTTCCCCCCTGAGGAATGGGCTGGGTGAGCTAGACATGTACCCAGTCTTTTATTTAGAAGATGGAAAGGGCACTTAGAAACGTGGGTGGGAGGGAGGCAAATCCCTAGTGTCCTTGGACACCAGCCCGAGGTTCAGGGTCAGGGGAGAAAGAATGTTCTTCCCTGGAATGCACTGTAGGTGGAGGGCTCCACTGAGGAGGGGAGAGCTGTATCAGCCCTTTCTCTGATTCAGGTGTGATTGCTGGGTCCCCTGCACCCCCAGAGCTGGTCCGAGCCATCATCAACAAGATGAATATGAAAGAGCTGGTGGTGAGTGGTAGCCGGGCTGGGCCTGTGGGCAGAGGGCAGCCCCGGCCCGGGGTGAGGATAAATTGACAGGCATGGAGACCAGCCCAGGCCAGATATCCAAGGGAGACTTTCAGCCAGCCCTCCTTCCAAGAGCAGATGTGAGAAGACAGTCTGACTTCATCAGCAGCTGGCAAGTCAGGGAGATAGGCGGCAGCGGAGTGAATATTATACATACATACATAAATTTATATTTATAGAAATTGGGGGAAGAAATGCAGCACAGGGGAATGGGCAGCAAAGCACCGGTGTCCTGCTAGAATGTCCTGGCAGGGAGGGCTGGCAGAGTTGGGGTATGGACTTAAGACCCTTTCTGGAAGCAAGAGGTGGGGCAAGGATATGGTGGGGGTTTTTGCATGGCAGGGAAAGAGGGGCAGTGGAAGGATGATTCTGGAAGGGTGGTCATCCTGATGACCACTCCATTCTGGTTTCAATGGACTTGGGGGTCTCAGCAACAGCTTCTCTGAGAGGAGCCGAGGGGGCATGATGGCGGGGGAGGGCCTCTGTGGCCTCCCAGGACACTGTCAGGTGGAGCTGGATGGTCTGGGAGTGCCTGCAGCCCCCTGCCAGGACACGTCTAAGTGCAGGCAGCTCTGCGTATCAGCAGAGGCTGTGAGGAGAGGGCAGAGGTGGAGGCGGGGAGGTCAGTAGTCTCTCCGGTGGAAGGCAGAGGCCAGTCACCAGGACTGGCTAGGTCAGGACCTGCAGTGAGGCAAGGATCAATGTCAGGATCCCAACAACCCAGAGGATGGTTGGAGAGATGGTGGGAGTATTTCTTCCTCCCTTTGAGGGGACACCAGCCCTCCCCTCCTCTCCCTGCAGAAGTGGAAGGTCTGCCTGCCTCTGCAAGCAGAGTGGCCATCCTGGGAGAGACCAGCTCACTTACTGGAATCTCCAGAGAGGAAACGGGGGACCTGTTCATCTGGCCCCCACCTGTTTAATGGCGGCCAGCTTTCTTGGACCTCTTGGTGGGGAACTTGCAGCCACGGAATGCATCTGTGTCACGGATGTGCTGGCCCTTAAACTTGGCAGGCGAGGCACAAGTGGCATCTGGGCGGGAGGCCTTGGCTTCCAGCCACCTGGAGAAACAGAGATTTGCTGGGGTTGTGAGAGATGTGAACATGCTGGGACAAGGGACAGTAAGCTACGGGGTGGAGATCAACTTGGCCCCAGGATAGTCTGGAGCTGTCATCTTCATTTTACAACCAGGGAAACTGAGGCTCCGAGGGTCCCATGCCTGTGAGGTATCATATTTAGGATGTATGCCCAAGACATCTTAACACAGGGCCCTCTGTCACACAAGGGAGGGCTCTGGGGGGTGACACGAGGGTGTTCTTACCGCCGAAGTCCCCGGAGCTGGCATGTACACTTCCAGGGGTTATTGGTGAGGGTGAGGGTCTCCAGGTTGTCAAAGGGGAAGCTGGAGGGCAACTGGGTCAGGCGGTTGTTCTCCAGGTGGACATGTTTCAGTGTGGTCACACCCAGGAAGGCAGCATCAGAGAACTGGGGAGCAAGACGGCATGAGTGAGCACCCCAGTTCTAGTGTCCAGCCTCTCCCAGCTCAATCACCTCAGAGGGGTAGGGTCCTTCCCTGGACATGAGTAATGGCACCTTGAGGAGTTTCCCAGTCTTTTTTTTTTTTTTTTTTTTTT